TACCCATAGAAACAACCACTAATGCGACTAATCCTTCAGGGGCACTTAACGGACAGGGAGCACGCCTGGGGCCCGTGGGGGGAGAACTCTGACCTCGGGAGGCTAACCACACGCAGACATTACAGCCTTATAGCAAAGGGGCGCAACCGCCTATAAACAACAGACATAGGCCAACCCGACACGGGGCAGGACACCCGACCACACTTAGCCCCTCCAGGCCCTCCAAAGGGCACCCTCGATACTGAACAATGAGATGGGACAAGGAGGGACGGGGACACGTTCACTACCATTAGAGTAACCCGACACGAAGGCACCTAGGCAGCAGAACCCCCCATCTCAACACGAACCGCAGCCTCTCCTGGAACTCAAAGCAATACCCAGGGCAACCACAGAGAGATGTAAAAAGCACAGAAGGGGATGCTACACCGGAATCACAGCTACCAACGGGGCCGAACACGACCCTCTCCTACCTTCCGACCCACTCCCCACAACTCAAGAAGGAGCACATCCAACCCCACAAGCCAGAACACACTAGCTCCCAGGGCAACTGAGGCACCACACAACTCCAAGAGAGCACCGCGACCATGGGGACCACCCAATCTCGCCGCGACATTTAGAAACACCACCTAGGAAAACGCTGCCACGTAGACCCCCAACCCAGAACCACCATACACGATCTAAGCCATGAAACGGGCCCGGCCAGCTGATCACTGCCACCCTCTTCACCACGCCACAAAACAACGGTCCGCATAGGCAGAAGTCAGATCAAGACTTCCCCAACGCTTGACTCAGCTATGACGGGGTTGACCTGAGACCGAGTGCTTACTAAATCGACATCACGGAAAATGTGCCCAACCTAAATGCAATATGTGCTTTGTCATATGCGATTTCCCCACTCCCCGTTCCCTGCTTTCTCTTCTGTATTCACAACCCATACCGAAAGATAATTGAAAAAGTAATAAATAAAGAATTTAAAAAAAGATTATATATATTATATTATATATATATATAAATCATTAATTTATTTATTTGGACTGATATTTACTGTTTCCTCCTGAGTAATGTCCGACCACCTAAAGATCAATAATACACCTATTCTATTCTTCCTACTTTATTATTGTTATTGTTAGGGGTTGAGTTATGTATAGCTTCCTTTCAGGCCAGATTAGAGGAGCAGGACCACAGAACTGATCAATTCACACAAGCATTACAGACTCTACAGGAAAGTGGCACGAAAGTACCCACACTTCACTTTTCAAATCCTGCAACCATTTGCAGGGAGTTTCAAGGATTGTAGGGGATTTCTTAAACAGGTTGCCATCAATTTTGAGGTTTTCCCTCACAACTTCCCTACTGAGAGAAGGAACCATCTTTATGTGGAATCCTTGATAGGGTCAGATCCCTTGTGGAAAAGTAATTCACCTACTGTAAATGACTATAAGAGGTTTGTAGAAACCTTTCGCAGGGTATTTGATCCTCTACATCATTCTGCTTTGGCTGCCAAGACTATTCTCAATTTCAAAAAAGGCTCTAGGCTGTTGGGGAAATATGCTTTAGAATTTAGAACATGAGCGGCTGATCTTAATTTTAACAGCAAAGCTGTCCTTGATGACATTTTGATCCCATTTTGGATAACTGCAAGAGACATTCCGACTGATTTTGAGGACCTAGTTGCTTAGTTATTATTTTTATTATTGGTATTTACATAACGCCAACAAATTCTGCAGTGCTTTACAATATTATGAAAGGGGGGAAATTTTCTAATAAATGAGACAATTACACAATGACACAGGAACAATTGGTAGATGAGGACCTTGCTCAAACGTGCTTACAGTCTAGAGGAGGTGGGGTACAAAGACACAATAGGGCAGCAAGGGGGACAGCCACCAAACAAGGTGGAAAAGTAGCAGAACTGGAAGTGAGAGTGGAGTGTGGCTCTTTAGGAGGGCAAGAGACAGATATGGATAATCATAGATAAGTTACTCTGGGAGTCCATTAGCATTTCTGAACATATGTGCTTTGAGGGGCTTCTTAAACAATTGAAGGGTAGAGTCCAATGGGGGTAGGCATGCTATTCTAAAGGAAGGGAGCCACCCACGAGAAGTTCTTCAAGCACGAATTAGCAGTAAGGGTACGAGCAGCAGACAAGAGAGGGTCACCAGCAGAGGAGAGAGACTGAGAAGGGACATATCTATGAATCAGTGAAGAAATGTAACAGGGCTAGAGTTGTTTAAAGCTTTATAAGTAAGGGTTAGTAACTCGAATTGACACCTATAGGATACAGGAAGCCAGTGTAAGGATTAACAAAGGGGTGAAGTATAGGAGGAGCGACGTGTGAGAAAAACCAGCCTGGTGGCAGCATTCATTACAGATTGTGGCGGAGCAGTTTGGCTTCTGGGGAGACCTACTAGGAGAGAATTACAGTAATCCATGTGAGAGATTACCAGAGCATGAACAAGCACCTTGGCAGCATCTTGCGTGAGAAAGGGGCGGATGTGGGCAATGGTTTTAAGGTGGAATTGACAGGTTTTAGTGACATACTGAAAACAAGGTGCAAAGGTGAGGCCAGGATCAAAGATAATGCCAAGACAATGAGCTTGCAAGGACTGACTGATGCAAGTACCATCAACTTGCAGGTTAAGTGAAGGAGGCTCCTCTATGTCATTCCGATAGACACACACAGTCATACTCGTCAAGCCGCAGGTGAAATAGAGGGCTATGGTGGGTTTTGTACATTTAGCTCTAAAATTCTAGACCCTCTTTTTCTAACAATACATCTGAGGAGAAGACCATGCAACTTGGCTTGACACATCTATCTGATGCATGAGAGAAGCAATAGAGAAGGGAAGGTAATTGCTTCTGTTGCAGGAAAAAGAGCTTCTCCATGCTAACTGCCTTATTAGGCTGGGGAAAGCATGCACCTAAGTTCATTCACAGGACCTGCCTTGGAAGTAATGTTTTTGTCCCCTAACAAAACATGGTTAATAATTCCTATTTTATTACCTTATGGATCTTTCTCTCTGGTCAATCAAGATTCATTGGAACCTAGGGATGCCAAAACATTTTTAGACAACTCATTTTCTATCCAGCATAATATTCCACTGTCCAAGAAAGCAAGACAGTTGGCCGTTCAGGCAATAGTTGGTAGACCTTTCCTCAGGAGGAGTCTATTAAAGTAACTATTCATAAGTAATCTCCTTAAAAAAAATCTCCTCTTCCTCTTGCGCAATTGTGCTTAGTTTCCAATTGTTATAAAGCATAATCCTTTTTTTTACAATCTTTTTTTGAGTTTGTTTATTCACATAGGAGAGAAATAGAAATGAAAGAACTTAAAGCATATGTTATAACTCTGGTCACATGTATTATGCATCGCTGGTCTTACTGTTAGTTCAGTTGTTATCCAAGGATACCGTGAGTGATGCGCTTTACAGAGCTTTGTATCTGAGTCGTGCCATATTTCGTGTGCCTCTGATTTGGTCTTAGGTTATACATTGTGGGCATCATCTGGTAGTTGTATTTGGGCTGTAAGTAAGCAATTGCGTTCAAATTTGTGTTCGGTTGGTGTGAGAAGGGAGATTGGAGCTGGGAAGGGTTGCTTCAAGGGGTAAGGTCGTGTGAAGATGTAGATGATGCGAGTGTATGAGAGTGAACGGTAGTATGAGAGAGAGAGAGAGAGAGAGAGAGAGAGAGAAAGAGAGAGAGAGAGAGAGAGGGAAAGCATAATTTTTTAATCAATTTGGAGGAGGGCAAAATAGTTTCTTGAAGTGAAGTTTTTCCTGTCAGCAATCTTTGATAATTGTAGTTAAGCACATTCATTCTGCTCAAACATAATAGGATTCATTGATTCCTGTCCCTTGCCGTGATCTAGCTATAGCCTTTGACAAAATTAAGGCTGGCAAATTCCCCTCCCCATGGCCACTACGATTCTTTATTAAATTGTTACCTGGTACCTGCCCTCCTTGAGACAGAACCTTATTGTCTTATGTAGAAAATAAAGCTATGGAGGATTATGTTTCTGAAGAAAATCCTATTCTGCTGCAAGGGTGAGTTTCTTCTTTGTAGAAAAAAGGTGGAATTATGATTTTGTATTGAATACAGAGGACTCTAAAGATTACTGTTGCAAATTCTTACCCAATTCCTCTTATCACCGAACACTATTGGCTTTAGTATAGCAGAGTCCGGCAGACACCACGTAGTAAGAAGTCAGACTGCTCTAAAACAGTTTTCCTCCTTAAAATGGAGGGGCACCAGGATACTACTGGCACCACAACCACCACAACGCATTCTTGTGGTTATGGTGTTTGGAGTGTTCCTCTAACTACCCAGGTGTAAAGTACAGAGTTGATATGTGGTGCATACCAATCTAACTTTACATTGTATGTTACTACTTTATTACTGTACTTTGCTCCTCTTCTCCAGGAACTTGGACAACTTTAGCCTAAAACAGAAACCCCTAAGTTTGGGATTGTAGTTGTCACTGCACTTTGAAACATTCAATACAGTCACTATCCAGTCCATCAGTTGCTTATGTTTATAGGGTCTAGTGCCCTCTAGAGTTCACATTTTATTCTGTGGTACATGCATGATTATTGTCATTATTTTTAGCATTTACTACTTTTCACCTTTAATAATTATGAATATGTCTCCTTATAAGGAAATGATGAATGTAAGATGTGCTACAATAAATATTTTTATATTACTGTATGAACTGTAGGCTTCTAGTATGCAAAAAAAGCAACAAAAAAACTTAGGATCCAATACTATTTTCACTGTAGTGTCACAGTTAATAATAATGTTCCTCTTTTTAATAAGCATATAATTTATTTGGTATCAGTAAAGTATTAAAAGTGGGATCTTTAAAATAACAGGTTTATTTACTAAACAGTAAAATGCGATGAACTGAAAATAGAATTAAAGGATTCAGGATAAAATAACCAAATTATAAACTATAGACTGTAGTTACAAAGCAGTCTGGTGCTCACAATGAGGTCACAGATACACTCAGTCTCAGATGAAAGATTCTCAGTTGAGGATATATCCAACCAAGCCAGACGGAATAACATGTAGCCCAGAGGCTTGACGGAGTCACTTAAGGTGAGCAAATGAGAAATAGCCACTAAAATATTCCAAGTACTGCTGCCAGATCAGCTCGTCATGGTTTCATGTCCACCGGGCTTTTTGCCATCTTTGGAACAAAGCCACCCAACCATGTGACATTATGATTAGATTCATCTACTTTCAATCTAATCCTTAAAGGAAGATAATAGTGTTATTCCTAACAGTATAGTGCTGGAGTAACAGTTTAGGTTCCCGGCCTTCTCAGAATAAAGTAAAAAGGTATTTAACATTCCGCATTTGGATCTTCTGCAAGGGTTGCCATGGCATTAACTCTATAGTCATAAAGGAAAGCCAGTTATCTGTCATCATAAAGATAGGACGTCTGTTATATATGTACATATGTATAAAATAAAAGAACAGCCCATTCAGTACTCAAGAGACACAAAAATATATACTGATAAAGAAATGGACTGTGTCCAGACCATCAATTTCAAAAAAGGAAACTCATATGTACAATAAAAGACGGCAGAGACCGAACAGCCACAGGGTTGAGAATGATGCCAAGGCACCCTGTACAGAAAGCCGTTGTATACTAAAGACTAAAAGACGTGTTAACAATGAGAAAGGGACCATTAGCACTCTCATTGGCTGAGCCATACACAGAATAGCAATTAATAAAAAGAGGAACAGAAAAACACTAAGTGGATACTTAGCACAACAGGAAACAAAAGAAAGACAAGGAGCCCAATCTCATAAAAAGGAGATAGGAATATACTAATGTACCAAGGCCAGTGTACCCAATAGTATACCCAATAGTATAAGAATACACTAGGAAAAATTGAAACAAATAGAAAAAGGGGAGAAACAAAAAGAAAAAATAAGAAACAAAATAAAATAAAACCTTATTCCACAGGTAAGTATACAGTTGTAGCCCTTAGTAAGCCAGAATCACAAGGATCACCTTTAGGTAAATATTACAAAACAAAAGCACATAATATACAAAAATAACAAATTGCTATTCAATATCAAAGATGGTCCATAATCTTCATTCTAGACAAGATATCATAGACTGCACCAAATCCTCAAAACAAACATGAAAAGTAGACTTTTACTCTAGCACCTAGATATCTTCAAGATAAAACAGATAAAAATATAATTAATGAAGTACACAAAAACAAAAAGGCAGCCAGGTAAGGTGGATAAAAAAAATTACTTAACAGGTAGCACCAAATGTTGGCTATTTTATATTTGTACCTGGCATGCATTGGGCTTTTGTATACTGTAGTTTGTATTTTTGGTCTACTCCATTTTTTTGTAATATAATGTTTACCTGTAAGTATTACATTCCAATACCCCAACTGGGTATCTCTGCCAAATATCCTTGAAGCTAGAAGTGCTCTTAAGTAAATAGCTCTAGTCACCCCAGTAACTAGACAACACTAAAGTCCTGGGAGTACAACTGATTTTATTGAGCCAAATGCAGCCTTTTATGCACAGACCCTCAGCATGGGGTCTCCATTCAATGCATACAGTGCCTACCCAAGTGCCTCTGTGTCTCGGAGATAATTGATTATAATTAACTAATTATCCCAGATACAGAGTACCTAACATAAAACACCCCCCATACACAGTAAAAACACACAGGAACCCCACATATCATACATTCCCGGATAGCTCCAGGTCCGAGCACCCAAGATGGCAAAATAGCAACTGGATCCATAAAGAATTGTCCAATCGCCACCAGTGTAAAGTTTTGACCAGCAGCACACGAGGACTAAGCCCAAAACAGCTCCAACGTAATTGTGGTTTGGGCCAGTCAAATAGAGGGCGGTTTTGCGTTCAAACGAAGAAGGGCTACCCCTGGTTCTCAGGGAATGATTGTTCCAATTAGTCTGTAGTACGTTCCCTCCAAAAACATTCTCCTGGCATGTCGGCAAGTGGGGCAAAACAGCAGCTCAAGGTGACTGGGAGCCGCAAGGTCAAGTAGCCGTATCTGAGTTCCAGGAGGTTTGCGGCCAGGTAACGCTGGGGACCGTTCGGGAGTTTGTGAAGCTGAACAGCTGGCAGGGAGGGTGCTTTTAGTAGTAAATGTTTGGGAGAAGGGAAGGTATTAAATTAGTGAATAGTTCTTTTGGGGGAAAAGTAAAGGTATGAGGACAGGGTCTGCCACACCTGTACCAAGTTGTGTGCTACACATTTTAATGACTGTTTTTTTCCCTTTGTAGGATTTGCACTGACTATATACTTCCAGGACATTAGCAATTCGAGTGTCAGGAGAGCTGATACATTGAGATTTTTAAAAAGTGCTTTGATTAAAGTTACAAATTATCCAATCATCGCTAAATCCAAAGGCTACTTACTCTGTACTAATTATTGTTGGAGTCTCTGGAACCTTTGACACTGTTGATCATGTCCTCTTTCTCTTCAACACTCTCCTCTCATGGTTCACCTCCTACGTCTCCCAATGTTCATTCAGTGTCTCCTTTTCCAAAGACACCTCCTCCCCTTGTGCTGTCTCGACTGAAGTCCCTTAAGGCTCTCTTATTGATTCTCTTTTGTTCTCTTATACTGCCTCTCCACTACCACCTGTACACCGATGACACTCAAATATTTCTCTCCTCCCTTGATCTCTCCTCCGCTGTTCTACAATGTCACCACTTGTCTTTCTTCTATCTCTGACTGCATGTCCTCCTGCTTACTAAAACTCAATTTCTCTAAAACTGAGCTTCTTTTTTTTCCTCCTCATAATACTGATCCTCCTCTTTTGCTCTCCCTGCATGTTGATGGTACCTGCATCAGCCCGTGCTTGCAAGCTCACGGTCTTGGTGTTATCTTTAAGTCTGACCTCATCTATGTGCCTCATATCCAGTTTGTTGCTAAAACCTGTTAAATGCACCTCAAAAACATTGCCTGCGTCTGCCCCTTTCTTATGCAAGATGCTGCCATGGAGCTTGCTCATGTTCTAGTGATTCTTTGTAATGATTAATGCAATTCTCTCCTAATTGGTCTCCCCATAAGCAGTATTGCCTCACTACAATATGTAATGAATGCTGTCGTCAGGCTTATCTTCCTCTCTTGTCGCTCTTCTCACACCTCACCCCTCTGTCAATCCTTACACTGGCTCCCTGGCTCCTATAGGTGTTAATTCAAAATACTAACCCTTACCTATAAAGCTGTAAACAGCTCTAGCCCTTGTTATATTTCTTCACTAAATATAACATCTCTGTCTCTCCGCTCTGCCAGTGACCTTCTCCTGTCCACTTTTCACACCCTTATTGCTAATTCTCACTTGCAGAACTTCCCACAGGAGGCTCATTTCCATTGGAACAGCCTGCCTACCCCCATCAGACTCTCCGCTAGTCTTCAATCATTTAAGAAGCCTCTCAAAACCAACCTTTTTAGAAATGCTTATGGCCTCCAAGACTAACTATTTTACAAACCTATCTCTTGCTCTCTCCTAAAAGGCTACACTCCACTCTCACCACACTCCACTTTCCCACCTTCGTTGTTTGCTGTCCACCTTGATGCCTGGAACTAATTTTGTCATGAGGACTTCATGGGTTCCCGGTCACCTCAGCGGGACTTAGCAGCAAAGGTTATGGAACTTTTTTCAGCATGAGGTGACTGTGCAGTTTCTGGACAAATTGGTCAGGGGTTTTGATCCACTTTGAAATCTGCCAGCCCAAGAGCCCGCTTTTTGGAGGGAAGGTGCCTGAGACTAAGGGGAACAAACGCTACCAAAGAGGCAGCCAGGAACCCCCGCAAGTTGACCGACAAAAGCAGCAAACGCCCTGGAACTATTTTCGGCATAGGACCACCTGTGTGGCTGGTCAGAACTTTAATATGGTGGCGTTTACCCTACACTGCAAGGATCTGAGCGCTATTTGGAGAACTTGGGTGCTCAGATCAAGGCTATTTGGGGATGCTATTTGTGGGTTTGATTTATGTTTTTATTATGTTTTGGGGTGCTTTCGTGTTTTTAGATTTTTGTGTTTGGCTCCCTGTTCCTGGGAGATAATTTGCTTACTGGTCTTTAACGCAATTATCTCCCAGGCCCAGAGATTCCTGGGAGGGGCTTGTGTTGAATACAATGGAGACCCCCTGCTGGGATCTGTGCATAAAAGGCCAAGTTTGGCCCATTAAAATCAGTTGTACTCCCAGAACTATGTGTCGTCTTGTTACTGGGAGGGAAAGGGCTATAATTACTGCTCAGCACCTTGTTCCAGCTCGTGGAGGATTCAGCGGGTAAAGAGCTCCCAGGACCTGTAGGGTGATTAGTGGGGTCCGTGCACCATTCGTGTTGCTTTGAGTAGCTGTATTAGGGACCTGGTCGCAGGTGCTCATGATCCAGCCACCTTGGTTCCCGGTCAGGCTCTGCCCCCGACTGGAAAACTTTTAAGCATGTCCTCATGAATATACAGTGTTTTGTATAGATTAATGTATTTTTCCCTTTATTACAGCTCATCCACACATTAGTTCAAACACACACCAACTAACCCAGATGTCGTATTCTGCCTATTCCAGACCTACAAATTAAAACACTTAAATTGTAGTTTAGCAGCCATTCTTGTCACCTGGGTAGTCGTCAGGACTACATTCAGTGAGAATCTGTCCCCTTACATCTCTCCATTTATCTATTCCTCACATACTGTTCCTTTTATTAGCAATCTATTACAGGCAAATTTGTATGTCGTTTCTGGCTGACCAACTGATATTTCCCCATAAGTACTACAGAAAATTTTATTCATACTTACCGTAATTTTCTTTTCCTGGCTATTATTCATGGCACCATCACTTATGGTTAGCTCCGCCCCCAACAGGATCAGGACAGGAAACAATTAACTAATTAGAACCAGACTGTAGGAATAAAGGTCTCTCCTCCCTCTATCTCACAGTCTAGTTTTAAAGCTCAAAACTATTTTAATGGAGGGTTGCTGATGCTGCCATGAATAATAGCCAGGAAAAGAAAAATATGCTAAGTACAGTGGTGTATCCTGGTTTTGTGCTGCGCTAGGCAGGACAAAACTCAGGCGCCCCCTTCCCCCCGCCCCGCCTTCTAAATACACACATACACACACATTCACTGACAGATACGCATACACTCGCTAACAGAAACACACACTAACACTCACACTCACTAACAGACACACACTCACTAACACAGACTCACACATACACACTGACACATTGACACACTGACACACACTCACACAGTAACAG